AGACGCACTGGGGGGCCCTCATCAATGTGGAGGTGGCCTTGCACCGCGGGCTGCTCACCAAGTGCTCCCTGTGCCAGAAAACTGGTGCCACCAACAGCTGCAACCGCATCCGGTGCCCCAGCGTCTACCACTTTGCCTGCGCCATCCGCGCCAAGTGCATGTTCTTTAAGGACAAGACCATGCTGTGCCCCTTACACAAGCTGAAGGGCCCCTGCGAGCAGGAGCTGAGCAGCTTCACGGTCTTCCGGCGTGTCTACATCGAGCGGGACGAGGTGAAACAGATCGCCAGCATCATCCAGCGGGGTGAGCGGCTCCACATGTTCCGCGTGGGCGGGCTGGTCTTCCACGCCATCGGGCAGCTCCTGCCGCACCAGATGGCCGACTTCCACAGCGTCACAGCCCTCTACCCCGTGGGCTACGAGGCCACGCGCATCTACTGGAGCCTGCGGACCAACAACCGCCGCTGCTGCTACCGCTGCACCATCTGCGAAAACAACGGGCGCCCCGAGTTTGTCGTGCAGGTCATCGAGCAAGGCCTGGAGGACCTGGTCTTCTCTGACTCCTCACCACAGGGTAAGGCACGATCAGCTCTGCGGATGCCGACGCTCTGCCTTCCTCCACCCCTTAAGTTGCTGCTGTCTGGTGCTAGGCTGAGCCAGCACCAGGCATCAGGGCTGGGCAGCTGCTGGTCTCCAGCAGAAAGGGGAGGAGGGGTGATCTGAGGTCCTGGGGTGGCTCTAGCTGTGGCACGGGGTCCCCGCTGGGGAGCCGACGGGCCAGCTGCAGCAGGACCCCGCATTAAACCCTATCTTTCTTCGGCAGCTGTCTGGAACCGGATCATTGAGCCGGTGGCGATGATGAGGAAGGAAGCCGACATGCTGCGGCTCTTCCCCGAGTACCTGAAGGGCGAGGAGCTCTTTGGCCTCACGGTGCACGCGGTGCTGCGCATCGCCGAGTCGGTAGGTACCGGGGCCCCGCCTGGGTGCGGGGGGTCTCCAGATGTGTGGCGCACGTGCCATGGGCCAGCCCCCTGTGGAGGGGGCTGGCGGCTCTGGGGCCGGGGTGGCCCGCGGTGCTGCCGCTCGACCCACAGCCCCTCCGCTCCCT